TCTTTTTCCTATCTCTTTCCTTCCTCGCCTCCCTGCCACAAACTCCTTAACTGGAGATGGTGCTGGAGTCTATCAAAATTACAGAAAAATTAGTGTAACTACATTTTATCTCCCATCTTCTTCAAGAACAAAATAGCTTGAAGAGGCAACATCAATAAGCATCTGAATGTGAAAATATCAAATGGCAGATGAAAGGGAGGGGAAAAAATAAGAGGGGAGGTACTCTTACTAAATAAGTGTTATGTCTTTACAGTTTTCTTCCACGTTCTTCAGAAGTTCCTGCCAGAACATTACTACACAATTTCACTTTCCCCAATATTCTTTTCTTTTGCTAGACGTGGCTCCTTTTTATTTCTTTTCATATCATGTCTCAGCTTTGTGTCTATATTCTCCTCATTGTGTAGAAGTAGCTTCGAGATTTGACTTCTGTGTGACTGACCATAGAAAACAGTCAAGAGCACCTAGCAGAAGAGCAACAGGAGCCAGTGCGTTATCTGGAGATTGTCCTGGAAGTAATTTCTGTCTGCCTATGAACAGCTCTTATAAATCCTGGGGGGACAGGAGCCATGAGTGGGCCATTCTGCTAAAGTAATACAAATGCGTGTTCGTTATAAGAATACTTGCGTATGTGTTCATGAGTTGTGTTGAAGAAGAAGGAATAATAATGGTAGCACACCTAATGGCACTGGTTTAGTCTCTGCAGTCTCTAATGTTTGGTTTTTTCTCCCCCTTCCTCTTCACCCCCTGCAGATTCTGCTAACTATCAATAAGAAGCTGAATAACCAGTTGAAAACATTATATATTTAAGTTTACTAAGAGGTAGCCTGGGTGGGAAAAGTTCTTTAGTTTCCTCTTACTTTTGGGAGTAATATAGCTACCTCAAGCCCACAAGTTGTAATAGCTGCAGTTGAGAATATTGCAGGTTTTGGCTGAGGATCTAGTAGAGCATTTTTAGAAGCATCACTAGAATATCTGCTGGGGTATGTGCTGTTTCACTCCAGTGACAGTACTGCAATTAACAAGTTGTTGGACTGGGATAAACATGTTTCACATCTGCCAAATTTCTATTATTTTGGTTACTAAGGAAGAAACAGTTGAACTTTAGAGGTTGAGTTGAAGCTGGGAAGGGAAAGAAATGGCAGAAAGGGCCTTGGAGAAAATGGAAGGTTGCCTTATTCAAAACTGGATAGAAAAGGTATTGTTTTTCCAGATTTACAGAAACAAGTTTACCGATAGCTTTGCCTTACCATGGCACTCTGCTCTATTTCTGGAAGAACACCTTTTGGTGGTCTGCAAAGTAGCAGAACAACCTCTGGAGGAGCTCCTCTCAACAAGTGCAGTACATCCTAAGCAGGAAGAAGGAATATTATCTTTTTTATGGAATACAGTCTGTAGTACATTTCAATTTACCAACTGGGATGGAGACAATTTTTATAGTGTATGCCAAATTCCTAGTATTTGTGTCTCTCCGTTGTGTCTGAGGGACAAAATTCACCACTGTATGATTGTCATATAAGTGGACCATAGTTTTTATGTGAATGTGTATCTAAAGTCAAGAAAGTTCTATTTACATACTTTTGTTCCACCAATAAACACATAGGTTTAAATTCTTTTGTTGAAGAAAACAGGATTTTTGGGAAAATTCATTCAAATTGCATGTGGCAGTGACACATCTTCCGTCAGTTTTATCAGCATAGCTCCACAGACTGCCATATTGACATAACCAAAGGGAGACTTTCTCAAACCCCCTCCTTGACATAATATCTATTCAGTTGCGTTCAGCTTTTAGCTAAAGAGAGAGATGAAATATTTAATCGGCGGGGGGGGGGGGGGGGGGGGGGGGGGGGGAGAGGGGAGGAGAGGTGGTGGTGGTGGATAATGCTGTGGGCAAAAACACCCTGTCTGTCCTTCTGCACAAACTGAGTAACAAGGCTGTATGTCAGAAAGCAAGACAGTGCTGGAAAAGGACAGACTCTGGTTCAGAAAAAAAATCCAGTAAAAAATGGAGTACAATTACAGCAGCCCTCCAGGTGTCTGAGACTTATAGCACCTTGTCTTTTGCCCTAGCTATTTAATGATACAAACGACCTGCCATCCAAAATTGCATGCTTTCATCATTTCTGTTTGTTACCAACCTTATCTATTGGTATATGCATGTTCACATACAAAAGGGCCATTTTCCATAAGGTAAACAGTGTACAATAAAAAAAATAAATCCACATGTAGTCCTTTCTTACCATTTCATTTCTTCATAGAAAGAATTTCTTATTCTAGGTAAGAAAGTTGAACTGGGTTTAGCTCACCCAGTAGAGATTTGACTCTGGAGCATGGCATTGCAAAGCACAAATGACCACAGGGAAAAAATGTTCCAGCTATGCAGAACAGCAACAAAGATTCCAACTAATTAACAACTGGCATGCATCTGACAATAGACTTCATGCATCAGTAGTAGAAAGTTATAAACTAAATAGCAAAGAAATGTTCTGTAAGAATTCTGTTAGGAAGGAAATTCTCCTTGAGAATTCTAGAGAAGAATCCTACATAGAAATCAGTTTAATTATGTGCAAATTCTGACTCCCTCTGGTAATAAAGTTCAAATGCAGTTTCACCCCATCATCCTTATTAACATGCTACCCATCTGCAGTCCCAGTGATAGTACTGCCTGGTACCTGATACAAGAGTCCTTCAATAGGTTTCCCATTCACAGCTAAAATGATGTCTCCAACTTCAATTTCACCATTCTCTTCAGCTGGCTGCCCTGGAAACAGTCTTTTGATCCTGATGATAGATCCTCCGAGGTGTTCACAACCATCTCCTTCCATTTGCAGAACACTAAAGCCGAGGCCTCCTGAATTCTTTGTCAATTTGACTTCAAATATATTATCTGTTCAAAGCAAGGATTAGAAAAAGAGTGGGAGCTGTGGCATATGTGCCCCCCTAAGGAGCTGATGTAAATTATACTCTCAGCAGTCCTTTTTCTTGTGTCCTGCAGAAGTACTGGTACTAATGGCAAAAGAAGGGTTTGGTGTTCCTTAACTTCTGTGACCCCTTAAAATCACAAAGGTAGAACGGGGAGAACTGGATTCTATTTCACAGTCTTCACAGACTTTATGCCATCTGGTACAAGCTCATAAAGGAAGAAGCCTTTTGTGCCAACAAAAAGGTTCAAATACTATTCTTTTCTGACATTCTTCTGTAAGTGTTGGGTGTATCTTACTACTCTGTTGCTACCTGATGTTAGTTTGGGTCCTGCACTAAGCAGCATAACCTAGAATAAGACCTACTGCTCTTCCCAGACACAAGAACAAGAGACCAGGCTTTTCGCAAATACAATACTTGCAACTGAACCCCATTCTGCCCATTTATTTGTTGGCTAAATTCAGTGAGAGTGATCTCTGAATCTTCTGCTTTTAAGAAATGAAGTGATGGCAGTCTCCAGTCCTGGCCCTGGGACAGCAGTTCACCCTGGCTTCATTACTGACAGCATCAGCAGTTGTGCTGCCGGTGCTCTCTTCGCGTATCAGCCTGGCAACATCAACACAACTGCTTCCTGCCTGAGAGTGCTATAGAGTACAGACAGGGATGTCCCTTGCCAGCCCCAGCTCATGAGAGTACAGTATTTATACCTAGGATAAATTCAGCTATATGTAGCAACTGTAACTCTAAGTAAATCAGAAATATTTTGTTTGGAATTGATTTTTGATAATGCCATTAATATTGCACATTACATTTTTATTCAATATGCAGTTTTTCTTCCTACCCGCAGAAATTTGATAGAATTATTTTCATTCATTCCTTTCTTGCACACTGTAAGAAGTCACCCTGAGATCTTTTTTTTTTACCACTCACCATCTGTCAAAAAGAAGTAGTCCTTGGTACCATCTGTGAAGGATGTTGCTACAGAAACAACTGCACATTGGTCCTCCTTTCTGTCATTAGCAGTCAGGCATGGCTCTGCCGATTGGTAGTCTCCCCTTTCTAGAACCAGCTTGGCAATCTAAAATAATGATGAACAGGTTCCAATTACACAGTATACAGTGAGCCCTAAGTCTTTTTACTTTCGTTTTTAAAATAGAGTTGGATGGGGGGTCAGGGGAGGGAGTTTCTTTTGGACCAGCTTTGCTACTGTGCTTCGTACTAAGTGCAGTTTAGTCTACTGGGTATCTTTCTGAGCTCTGCTGTTGTACAAACCTGACCAGACTTCTTCAGGTGTTCCACAGCCTGTTTGTGGGTGATGCCACAGAGGCTTATGCCATCTACTTCCAGTAGACGATCACCTGAGGCAAAAGAAAACAAAGAAGCAAACAAAAAAGGGTTCAAGTCACTTGGATATTCAGGTTCAGTGGGTGTAACCCTTGAGGCTACCCACGATGCAATAGAGTTTCATGCTTACATCTGTCAAATTACGTTACTTTCTATGAAAGCAATACTGCTTGTTGTACAGCATTCTATACCTAGCACTTAAAACATACCAGGGTATTCTGCAAGTAAAATGCAGTGATAGTATCTGGTTATCATAGCAGCTTCTGAAAGTGGATGTCAAAGTCACTAGCCTGATGTGCAGCTACATAGAGTAACTGTTCAGTGTTGGTATGAAGCTCTTGGTTTTTCCATGGGATATCTATAGGTAGTACAGTGACTGGCTGATGAATGATGGACTACATATTATGTTTCACAGTAGTATGACCTCCAATCCCAAATGGGTTTGCCATGGGTTGTCCCTATGGCAAACATTCCGCACTAACGTTGACTTCTGCAGCCCAGAGTTTTCTTGACAGACATGTTACCTATCTTTATTTGTCCGTCCTTATCAGCTGGTCCCATGGGAATAATTGACTTCACATATATCCCACCGTGACGCACGCTAGTGTTAATTCCACCCTGCAAAACATATGCACACAGATTAGACTCCTTACACGATAAAATCAAAGCAATTTACACATGCATTGAAAGCAACTACTTCAGGAATTACATTTTATATAAATATAGGAAAAAAGGGAAAGATGTTACTCAGAAGTCCCATCTACTTGTAATATACTTCCCTAGGCAGTAATTTTGTTTTATTTTCTCAGGAAAAATGCAATGCATTTCCACTTGACTATATAAAAACATTTACTAAGTGTTCTTAAATTTTTCCCTGTGCTGACATAACCAAGGTGTTGCATCTTTCAGTCAGTCACTAGCCCAGATTCTACACTATGCAATATCCATTCAGCTATTATTAATGTTTCAGACAATACACAAAGCATGGACCTAAACTTGTGCAGAAGAGCCTACAGCTCAGAGGAATTCCAGATTAACCCAAGAATCATGTTCTGCCCATCTGCATGCCCTGGCCAAATTTAGGTGAAAAAGCAGCCCTCAATTTCTTCTGCAGGCAATGAAATGGCTGTTGCTTCCCACTCCATTTCAACAAAGACTGTAAAGACTTCTCAGCCTGGAGAGGTAAATTCAAATTCAATAGCCAGGACAAGGAATTATTATTCCAATGTGGCAGCTAGTTTTCACTGCTGCCTTCTCTGATCCTCTAAATATACAGTCAACTGTGTTTCCTTATATTAGGAAATAAAATTGGCTATGGCCCTTCTTCTGGCCTCCAGAGTAAGAAGTATGGCATATCTTGAGTCCACGAGCTAAACTTTCAGCATGGGATGGCTTCTGTTATTCTACTTGTTGAGGCACAGGCCAAAGCCCTGTTGAAGGCTGTCAACAATTAAACAGTGCTTGCGGGCCACTGTTGATCCCATGCCATGGTCCTGTACAAGCCACTTGTACAGACAGAGCCTTTGAGTTCCAGGAGCTCTAGGGGAGCAGCAAAACCAGTCATGACTTGGAGAATTCTTGAATGGCTGCATTTTCTAGAAGCCCTGGCAATATCCCTTGCTGACCAAACTCAACATTTGGTGGTAGGTCTTGTTCTCAGACTGAGTAAGGTTCAAAAGGGCTTGTGCTGCCATATGCTTTAGGTGGGCACACTTTCACAGCTTCTGCAGGCAGCAACTGGGGAATGAGCAGAGCGTATGCTCTGCTTTCTCAGTCAGCTGATTGGACACGTTTAGGTTTGAAACGTGCCATGAGAACATCTTTTGTCACCAGCCTATCTCCTATCTCTGTTCCACATAAGTACACTTTTTCCCTATGTGTTTGTTGGTTGTTAACAGTTTGACAGACACACTGAAAGATTAGCAGTAACACTTGCAGTCACACTGATTCCAAAAGTTCCATCTTCTTTGATGAGCTCCACAGAATAGATTTCCTTTGAGTTAGTTTCAGATGGAGATGGTAAGTTCGAAGAATCAGCTTCCTGTCTCAAAAATATAAACAGTAATGAGAGTACAGCATCGCAGTAAAAAGGGAGGGAAAGGAAGAACGAAAAGGAGAGAGAGTTTCCAGGAGGGTTTGATCCTGCTGTCACTGTAAGCCTGGAGCAGTAACATTTATATCCCTGACACTATTTTAAGCTTACACTACTGTTACTCAAAATACAATCTAAATGTGCATATGCTGAGTAATAGGGAGGTTATCTAATAGTAGGAAATTAGACACAAAATGTTGCTGTTCTCTGTCAGGTTGAAAACTTAAGAGATTGCAAGGAAACAATCAAAATTTTATACCCCACTGGAAAAGGGAGGGGAATTTTTAATAACATTTTTTTGAACAGTTTCCCCATTTTTTTGCACGTATTCTAGACGTGTCTATATCATTTTGACATTTCCAATGTAATTTAGCAAGCAACATCTTCCAAAGTTTTCTTTCTCCTTTACTAATTTTTTTAAATTTCTTGGTTACTTCCTATTCTTAATATAGCTGGTGTGTTGTTAAGACACATACTGGGTGTAGTTTTACTGAACTGCATCCAAATCTTGGTTACCTCCACATCCAGGCTATCAGCTGAAGGAACTGGAATCCTAGGGCCCAAATTTGGTACTAAACTCCAGGAAAGGGCCTTCTCAAGTTCATCCACGTTTATGTCCTGTTCTTTGGGGACAGCTGTATGACAATCCTGAATCTTTTTTCTACTGTTGTCTGCACAAGAGATCTCAGATCCACTGGTGCTGTTTCCTCTTGATAGATTCTTTTCTTCATTTAGTCCTTCTTCACATATGTCTGTAAAGCCATAGCAAAATAAAGCATTGCTGAATGCAAACAGTAAGTAAACCTGAAGACAAATATTATTATACCTCAGCACAGGAGGGCAAAGTAACTTCCTACACCAGCTGGTTGTGAAATCAGATCTATAAAATGAGTCAGTCATTGTAAAATGGAGCACTGCTATTACAAATGTGGAGAAATGTGTTTGCTTTATCATTGCAGAGGACTGTTTCTCTGTAAGAGAAAGAAATGCCAAAATTCCCTTGGTATTCAGCAAAGCAGCCAATAATAGATCTTTTCACACTGACTGTAGAGGAGAGATCACTTGATAGCTGCTAGAAGCTGACTATTTTCACTGCTGGCCTATGGTTATTTTGACTGGCACTGAGCAGCAAGAAAGTACTATTACATCCCAGCTCCTAACAAATACCAGCATCCTGGGTTAACTATTAGCATTCCATAGACAGCAAAGGCATTAGCCTTCATACCTTTGGGTTGAGAGATGATGAGCTCCACTTCATCAGGAGAATTCTGTATGATTTTAACTGCAGTATTAAATGAAACACCCTCAAGACTAGTATTATTCACAGAGATGAGTCGTCCTCCTTAAAAAAAAAAAACAAAAACCAAACAAGGATAAAACCAAGACAAAGCATATCTAAATAAAGAAATAAATCCAGAATAGCTAACTTTAAACCATGAAAGTATTTCAATTCTAATTAAAAACTAAGGACAATGACCTGGTTTGATATTTCCAGCTCTGTCTGCAGGTCCCCCAGGGATAATTGAAGCGATAAAGATACCGAGGTCTAATTTTCCTACATTTTCTCCTCCAATAATTACAAAACCTGCAAAAATGAGATAGCATGAGAATGCAGAGACACTGGCAGTATTAGAAAAGATGAACCTCATGAGCATAAAAAGCTTTTACTCTAATGGCTTAAGTTTTATACATGGTCTGGAGAATGAGGAGCTCTCACTTACATGGTATCAAGGTCTTGATTTGGAAGAGCTTTAAATTTATATTATAATTAAAGTGTGCTGGTGACTTTGGTGGCTATTTAAATATAACTTCTCAACAAGAATACCTTCCTGGCATGTGATTTTCAAAGATTCCAGCTACTTTCTTACAAGAGTCATAAACTCTTTCATGTGGACCTTAGTATTTAACACCTGCAGGAGTAAAATGGTTTAAAAGCTCATTTAATAAATTCAAACATTTTTCCACATCATGTAGAGTAGGGGCCCTGAGACGGACCATGTAAATTTCTAATGGATATGTAAGACATATCTAAGAAAATTAAATCTATTGCCAAGGAGTTCAATTTCACTATTTTAGCTCAGAAGACTCTGCTTATTGCAGAATAAATTCTTGTTTCTCTAGTATAGTTGGGTTTGGGATGAGGATATTCCACACAGACATGCATCATTTAGAAGCTTCATGTTTAATTGTATTAACAGTCAGCTGTGAAATGTGATGGTTAGCATAGAGTGCAATAGTGTACTATATAACAAAAAATGTTATCCAAATAAGAATCCAAAAGTCAGGAAACATTAACATTAAGCTTGTGTACACATTTGCACTTCCACAGGCAATACCTGAAAGGTTTGCAGAACATGATCTCCCCCTCTGAAATGTCTATGATAAACAAAACCACTGTGCATGCATTTCAGATACAAAACTAAACCCTTATTCCTTTCATTATACTCTTAGCACTTGGTCCCATTGACCTCTGTGGCCTTAGTTAATCCTCTGAAAAAACTGTGGTCTTGATTTATGTGCTTAGTCCTTCTCAGTCTCAGAAATTCTAAGTCCTTCACAAAGACTGGTAGTCTTATTCTATAGGAATAAATGAGGCGAAGACAGTTACTGTCTTGTCCAGGTTGAGTCAGCAGCTATCAGTGTTAGCACCAGGATCTGAAAGTCTCGGTAACAAACATAACATTTGTGTTCTTACTTACCAAATCCATTCTTAGGGTCACGTTTTAGATTGACACAAATTATTTCTCTTTCTAGACCACTTAGTAAAGCTTCTTTTTGGATTGCTGGTGATCCAGGTGCTGCAGAAACAAAACAGCTAGAATAAATACAGATTAATGCGGGGAGACAATAGATTCATATAGCATGCAAAACTGGGGCTTCAAAGTTAAAAATACATTTTGTCCTTCTTTTCAACATTACCATCACTTCTGAAACAATACAATTCAGGAAGGAAGCTCAAACAAGTGTCTGAAAATTTGTATTCTTTAGAAAGGCATATGTACACTAGCTGTGTAAACTCTTCCTATAATGTTCCTTTCTGGGAGACTATGCATTTATCTGCAATGGTTTTATTAAGATTAGGACATCTGAAGAGCCGGGCATGTAGCGCCCATTGAACATACGGGTGATTTGGACACAAAATCTCCTATGTATTCCTTTGGAAACTCTAGCCTTCATCCCTGAGTGCCCTTGTGGCTCTATAGATGCAATCCAATCAGCACTGAACAGGATGGTGGCTTTTGTAGTGTTAACATTACTTAATATTGTGGAATTGCCACAGTGTGTCCAAAGTACAGTTCTAACTTTAAAATAGGCTAAACAAATAATCATAGCTTTGTATTCCATACATCTCCTCACTGTGTGCATACAGTGTTAGACAATTAGGTGTCCAGTTCTTATTCTAGTTAGTGTCATACAAATGCAAGAACAGAGGAAGGACCTGGAGCCTATGTTGTCTCATGCGTTATTTATTGGGTTGTTGATCTCAATTGCAAACCAAATGATGACCTCTAAGCACTGGATGAGAGAGTCCTGGGTGTACTGAACCGCGTCTTTGAAGAGCATTAGGCATCACTGATAGAATAATTTTATCATTAAGCCCCCTACCACTAATCCTGATGGAAAGCAGGAGTGAAAGGGAAGAAAACAGCTTGTCTTGCTGAAGTCTGGGTTAATTGCCAGGACTAGAAGTGCAAAAGAATAATCTTTAATCTGTAAGTAGAATATATTTTGGTCTCCTGCTATTGAAACAATAACATGGAAGGGTACTGTCTCTATGGTTATTATACTCACCACTGATTGTGTTCTGAGTTGAATGGGTAGACAGGTAGTCATAACTCCTTTGCTTTCCATTCAAATTGATGTGCATTTCTGACTGGGATAGACCTGATGTGGATCTGTGTGACAGGGGATAAAGACCTCATTACAGAACAAATCAGTAATGGTATTTAGCACTCCTCATTGACATTAGTCTGTCAGAGCCAAGATGGGAACATACATCTTTATAGCCTTTCAATGAGTTTTCTGATTTCTGGGACACATTTCATTGCAGAGGAGAGGTAGTCTAACCTTGCCAGCATTAGCTTCCAATTAATAGCTGCCATTAGACCACTCACATCATGACTGATTTCACCCTGTGTTTTCCTTTGAGCTGGGTGCAGGCATCAGGAAAACACAGCATAGTCTCAGCATGATTCATTTAGCCCTGCTGTCCGTTTAAACAAACCCACATCTGAAAGTTTTCCTGGTAGTTCATGTTCTTCTCGGCTCTATTCTAACTCAGTATTCTAAAAGGCACTTCAGACTGTGCGCAGCTATAGTAACCACCCACACTGGTGAATGTACCAATGCAAATGAAAAGGGAGAAGTTCTTACACTGTTCTCTGTGATTTGCACCCTTAGACAAGGAGGAATCAATTAGGCAAAACCTGTTCAAAACCAGCTTCCAATGTGCATTCAGTTCACATACTGCTGTTTCCAGAGAAGATACAGAGACACTAAAGATTTTGATTTTATTCTCCTTTATTTTTATCCTTCTCCATAACCCAGTAAGTGGTTCATTCCTGAGTCTGGTACAAATTTAAATGTCACTCTTTTTGAAGTTCTCTGTTAAAGGATTAGCTTCCTGCCTGTGTTTGCACTACTGCTGGCACCATGGAGCCCCGGGTCTTTTGGTGTGACCACAATAAAGGCTGCAAAAAAATTGTCTGCTTCACAGTTCACTATAGAGGTTTGCAATGATATAGGCTGGTACTGAGTATTCTTATACATGTTTAGAGGAAAAAGCAAACCTACCTGCCAAGATTGCTTTTGTGTCTAGTCCTGTTGTTGGTTTCCACACTGAGGTTATCACAAGATTTGCTCATCATCCCAGCAGAAAGGTTTTCCAGGTTTGCTCCATAGAGCACGTTCTCTGAACGAGACAGTCTCTGAATCAGGGCAAGGTGTTCATGCTGAGCTGCATATGATTTGTCTATTTCCACAAATTTACTTTCCTCTAAATAAGAAGGGAGAGAGAGGGAGGAAGGAGAGATAAATCCACTGATAATTTCCCATCTTTTTAAAGTTCAAAGGTGCTCTCTGTCTAACCTTTAGAACACGCCAGCAAAAAAGCTTAGCACCACAGATCTATTTGTTCTGGTATCCTTGAGGATACCAGGGTCTTGGAGAGAGTGGAAAGGGTTTCCAAATAATTTCTTTCCTAGAAAGTATATGCTGTATTTAGATTTCATTTATATGAATTATACTGCAGATTCACATTCCACAAAGACAGATGTAATTTACAACCCTGTATATTTAAAACCTGAGTATCTCTGTTAAGTATACTTTGTAAATGTTCAGTGTATGAGAAATACCCATCTGTCAGAGACTGAATTAGTCAGGTTGGTGGTTTCTTGTCCTTCAAGGGCCCACCACTCCGACATATGTGTAGCTGATAAGACAGAAGCTATACTAACACATGCTCTCTTACGTTCAGAGAGGGGCCAAGGAGCTGAATGTTTACTCTGAGTGATTTGCACAAGTGAAGTTGAGTAAGGGACCATCTTGGTGGCAACATTTTCTATCCAATTTTCCACCTCTATGTGAAGTCTACTACTTGCTTAATGACATCTGAGCTCTGCTATATACGAATCTATCCTCTCAAAAGATTTAATTTCTGAGACAAGATAGTGCTGTGGGAGGGATTGTTAATTTATTTAGGTTCTCAGCTGGTGGGCTGGACAGGAGATTTGAAGGAGAGAGAGACAGCAGTCAATAGGAGGCATGTTGGAAAGTAAAACAAGCTTGGTATAGGCTAGCACAAATATGGGCTTTAATTGTGCTTGTACATGGCAGCTGACCTGCCGTGTGTTTTCCTCACAAGTATTAGGCTGAATGCAACTTTCTAGAATGCTGCTGTGCAGCATTAGACATAGGCTCCCTCTTTCCTCAGTGATTTTGTTCAGGGGGCATTTGTTAAGGCATCAGAAGGCTCAACTGTCCACAGTATTAGCGCAGTCTGAGAGTTGCCATGGTAATTTCGAAGTAGGGGGTTGCTAGCAATTTTTGAAGAGATGGTGACTTAAACATTTGAAGAGTGCAGCAGAAGCAAGTTTCCCTCGTGGAGAGTGAGCCTTATAATGTCTTACAGCCCCACAGTGGTGACTAGGGCAGCATTTTGAACTACTGTCTGTCATTGCCTTCACAAAGCCTTTATTTCTGGGACAGCAAGCACACATCGAACCTCAGAACCTGCAGTCACACGGCTTGTGTAAGTCTGGCTTGTTTCAGTGACTGGGGGCAGGGCTTGTAATCAAGACTTGGGTTATAATTTTCTTAGCTCTCATGTATGGAATGTAGTAATTTTTATTAATATATGTTACCACAAGCAAATGTGACATACGAAACTTTAAGATTCACTGTGAGCACTCATTTATATGCTACAAACCACAGTCCCACTAAGTTATGTTTAAAACTACAGAAGCCTCAGCAACAAAAGATGCTTTGAACCTAAATGTCATCCTAGTGCCTTTGCCATGGTAACAAATATGTACAGGTGGAAATTCACTTTCATGAAATAATTTTAGTGGGGAAGAAGCCATATATCAATCATTCTGTTATATTACGTGATATAATTTTTTGCCTACACTTTTACAGTTTTACTAGAGAAAGGAGTATCCCAGCAGATAAGGCATGACACTTGATTCTCCTGCTAGGACTCACTGGGTCAAATACTCAGTGGTTGTAAATAATAATGATTCTGTTCAAAACAATGGATGAGCTAGTGAAAACTCGTATTGCTCTGCTGAAGCCAAGAGTGATGACAGCTGTCAGCTTAGGCTGTTTTTTCTTCCACACACACGGGAAAACCTAAGAGCAGCTAGCAGCTACATAGTTGAGTCAGTATGACTGATGTGCCTTGGGTTTAGTAGTTTTGTCCTGGGACTAAACCATACAGCTGAACCCCTGTCTTACGCAAAGATGGCCAGTTAACTAAGTTCAGCTGCAGCACATCTGGGCACTACTGTATTTATTCATTTTAAGCAACATTTCTTAGGTTACATTTGGAGTAAGCTTGATATGTTTCCTCAGAATTCTCAGCAGGTTTCCTGAAGGGAAGTATAATCATGTTTGTGTGGTTTTTTTTTTTAATCTGGGTTTAGCTACATAGTTTTTACCATCAGAGAATCCCTTTCCACCCCCTGCACATGCCCACTCTCATCCAGAGACTAAATTAGACTTATACACAGCCGATTTTTAGTGAGTAGGAGATATTATTTTCTAGTCTGCAAATGTGAAACTGAAGCGGAGTGAAACTGATGTGGCATGTTCTGATCCTCAGCTTCACTGAATGCACCTTTCCTGAAACCTAACGTTGTCCTGTAGCCTATATAATGAAAGTGCATTTATACCTCACCTGATGATGTTTGCCGAAGCTGCCTAGAATTCATCTGTGCATTGAATTTGTGCTGGGCAGAGCAGAGGTCCAGTAAATATTTACATGTCTTTTGTGTATCAGTAATGAAGGTGTGTTTCTTGCCACTGAAGCTGCTTTCAATCATGAACTTTTTTCTCTAAAGGGATAAAAAACACAGCTTGCTTCATATATCAGTCATTACAGTGAGGCATTGAAAGTTCATTTTACAAAATCTTGTTGGTTTGTCCAGTTGTATTTATGCCTGGCTTCATGCCTTTTGGGTGCAGTAAATGCCTACCATAAATCCAGCAGTTGTTAGTGAGATGGCTGTCATCTACCCTGTGCCAAAAGTAAAGAGCTTTTGGATGTTGACTAAATTGAGAGCAGGTTGATAGAACTGGCAAAATTTGGCCTTACAATTGTGAAAATAATTAAACCAATTTAATGTGAAAATAAAAATATCTTCAAGGGGCCATCTTGGGAGAGCAAACAGGCTGGGAAATGTGTGATGCAGGTTGACACCTACACTGTATGATGGTAGATTGATATACCTCTGATGGCAAAATACAGTTTAGAAGGGGTCACAATCTTGTCACCAATACCAGTTTGTTAACAGACATCAGTATAGTAAGAGATGAGGATGGGAATAACGAGATCTGGAAAGAGGGACATGTGATCCCATGACCTGATGTGGGTAGGAAAACAAAAGGAGTGGGGGGGGGAGGGAGGGAAAAGGGCAGACAGAGAGTGGGAAAGATAGGATTGAAGAGGGAATATGCCATAGAGACATTTGACATAGTCTCTGTAATAGTTGACACCAGATTGTTCAGTTTCATAGTAATTTGACTCCAGCCTTGGCAAAAAACTTCTAGATCTAAATCTCACTAAGAACTGGGTATCTTGGTAACTACATCCCGATCCAGCCTTGATTTGAGGCTGTTTTCAAAAAGGACTTGCTTGTACAGAATGAGTCTAATTCTGGCTCTGAATGCAATAAATTTATCAAAGTGACAGGCAGAAGGGAAGTAATGTGGTAGGGTGGAAAATAGATTCGCTTGGTTCCAACTCACGTGAGCTGAAATTCTCTCTGTTTCACGCCACTGGAATCTTAAGCTGGCAATTCTTGTTTGATTTTTGACTTCATAAACAATGATGCCTTTGGCACAGATTCCCAGGATGATGTCTCCGCCTGCTCCTTTCTTCTCTTGGGACACACGGTAGAATAAAACTCCATATTCAGGAAGTTGCTGAGTCACCTTGTAGAGAAAAATTGCATTTACCAAGCATTACTCAGAAAGAGGCATGGGAAGAAAAGGTAGGTAGGTGGGAAAGGAAATGGTTTTGAGTGTCTTTACTCAATATTCTTTCACTCTGTCAAGAATCCTTTGAAAACCCTAACCAAATTTTCATATCTACTGTCTCACAGAATCATCCCCTTACTTTGGTATGTCATAGGACCATTACATGCATACATTTTCCATGCGTAAAATTGAAGCAACACATTCCCATGTACCTCATTTGAAGAGGTAGGAGGATTATATACCTTCCTCCACGATAATCTAAACATTACATTACCACTGGGGTATTCAGCATTACTGCTACTTGGCACTTTTGTGCATTTCTGAATAGAAATCCATGCAGGATTGGTGCTGCTTGACTACTTGTAAACCTTTCTTTCCATTTTCTTTTCTGTGTCTTTGTTTCCCTGAGCAAACCCAGAAACCATAAGGTACAGCAAATATGATGATCTTAGTAAAACTGCTAGTATTTTGGTGCAAGGGCTACTCTGACATTGTTATGGGCTTATGTGGTTTCCTTCCTACAATAGTGATGTCCAACTGGGCAGTGACACTATAGCTCCCTCGCTGCAACTGACTCACCCAGGTACATATGTCCGTTCCATCACGGCCATCATCTTTTAAAATCACACAATATAGATTTCTGTTACCAAGGTCTTAACTTAAAGGGTTTGCTAATTTGTCCCTCAAATTATCTCACCCAGATATAGTGGTGACTTTTGAGGGATTTTCACTGCCCCAGAATTCCTTTCAGTGCCAGACTTTATAGTAACAGACCTTCAGTGTCACTTTTTTCTTGCACAGTGCCCATTGCTGGGTAAAACATTAAGTAGGACTACATTTCAAGGGACTGAAGAGCCACCTTGTGCCCCTGCCATCTATCTATCTGTGCAGAGGATACTCTGAGGAACGCACCCAGAGGTTCTGGGCTGTTGTCTTTCTACCTCCTGCACTTGCAACAAAGTGTTAAAATGTGACTCAGACCCTTTACAGAACTATGGAATATGAGGAGGGTTTTCTGCCCTCTTTTGTGATTTTCAGATCAATATGAGTGTATTCTAAAGCTTTTTTATTTTTTTGGGTGGGGAGGGGAAGCTGATGTAGAATCCCCAAATTACTTTTCAGTGACCAAAAATAAAACACTTTAAGAAGATATGTTTTTCAGAAAGCATCCAGAGCACAAATGTTTAGGTCCTGAAAACTGGGGCATCTATAATTATTAGCTGAATCTGGGATTTAATTTTTAATCCTTTTTATATTTGAAATGTGCATGTTCTTGCCACGGGGGCTACCTTTCTCACTTTGTATGATGTGTTGGCTCCTTCTACAAACCTATTCATTGAAACAGATACTAACAAAGCTGCTTTTCTTCATTGGATTTGCCACGCATGATGGGACTGTCATTAAGGCTAAGCTCCAATCTATTTCTTCAATTCCACTGACAGCGTTGGATGAGCAACTAACATAATTAAACAGCAACTGAGCTAAAATGATGCTATAAATAAAAAACATGTGATACTGCAGCTAAATGGCTACTGATATTTATTCATTATCTAAATCCTCATGTTTTTAATTTGATGGAAAGCAGAAAAGTTTGGGGGAGAGTGAGAAACTAGGAAAGAAAAAAAAATCTCACATCATCATGATAGTCTAGAACCCTAGAGAAAGAGTCATATGAGAAAAGCTTCAGAGAACTCCTTCCTCACTTCCAGGGTTCACAGATATTTTTAAACAAATAATCACTACATGTTTAGAAAGTAGCTGAATAGCTGCTGTAGTTTCAGAAGTCAAGAAAGTGCTTATTCCCATGCTCATAATCATCCCTAATACATTCAGTAGGTGTATTTATAATCATCTGGAACCCAGACATGTTGGTAACATGCTGAAAATTTGCATCAGCCCTTGGGATGTTGAAAACACACGGAAATGTGTATTAACCCTTTATACTATCGGTGAAAGGAAACCTACAATGAAAATGTCATGGAAGTTATTTAGAGTGACAATGTCTACAGAAAAATGAAATTCAGAGGGTTTTGTTGACTATTCTTATTTGTTGACCATATCTAAAATATATTGTATCAGACAAGAAAGAAATAATAGCATAAAGAGCTTTCTATCACAAAATACATGAGTGTTTGGGGTATGGCAAGTCACCTTTAAAAATTCTAGTTCAGCTTCATCCTCAAATAGGGAACGATTCATACGATGTAATTTAGCAAGCTCCCGCTGTACATACGCCAGGGTCATTTTCTCTATTCGGCTTGCTGGAATGTAGTCTTCAACACGAAAATAGCTCTTTCCATGCATCTTTGGGAGGAAAAAAAAAAAAAAGAAAAGACAAAAGAAAGAAGAGCTTTTTATTCTTTCTTAACTTTTCTTATTTGGTGCATTTCCATTTTCAGGGTGACTCACATGCTGAAGTCACCCTGTTGCCATTTCCTAAGACAAGATGGGTAACAGCAGGTAGTATCCTGACAGCCAAATGTTCCTCTTGTGCTCAGCCAGGTGCTCAAAGCACACACTACTGTATGTATTGTGCATGCCTGCAGTTGTGAACTTGGAGCTGACAGCTACAGCTGCCTCAGTACAAACTACATGGGGGAAACCAATGCAGGGGTGGATCTAACCAGATGGATCAGACCACTCAGAGTTCAATTAATAGAGCTACACTGATCTGTATAACTGAAGATATGGCAAAGACCATGAATGTGTATTTTCTGTACACTTTAAAACTAGGATAATATGTTCAGATACACCACCAGTAATCTGTCTTTGCAGCTTGTGGACCTGAGCCAACACACAAAATGGCTCTGAACTCTGGAGTGTTGTTTTTTTTTCTTCCATGTTTTCTAATATCTTTAAACCCTTCTACGCATCCCAGCTGTACCTATGCTGGAATTTTTCTACAGAGCTTTGGAGTTTCCAGGTTATATTATCAATTATGAAGGACCAAGAGTCTTTCATCATTCTGCCATATTTCCTATGTTGTGGTTTAAGCCCAGCCGGCAACTCTGAACCACGCAGCCATTCGCTCACTCCCCACCTTCTTCCTCCCCCCACTCCCGGAGGGATGGGGAGGAGAATCGGAGGAATGTAACTCCCACGGGTTGAGATAACAGCACTCCAGTAACTAAGGTATAATACAAACCACTACTGCTACCAACAATAATGATAAGAGGAATAACAAGGGAAAAGGACACAATCGCTCACCACCCGCCGACCGATACCCAGCCCGACCCGAGCAGCGATCTGGGCCTTCCGGGTAACTCCCCCCAGTTTCTATACTGGGCATGACGTGCTGTGGTATGGAATAGGCCTTTGGCCAGTTTGGGTCAGGTGTCCTGCCTCTGCTTCCTCCTGGCTTCCCCTCCTCCCTGGCAGAGCATGAGACTGAGAAAGTCCTTGGTCAGAGTAAACATTACTTAGCAGCAACTAAAACCATCGGTGTTATCAGTGTTGTTCCCAGACTGAAAGTCAAAACCACAGCACTGCACCAGCTACTAAGAAGGAGAAAAAATGACTGCTGCAGCTGAACCCAGGACACCTGACAAATTTGTTTGTCTCATTACTGCTCTTCAATCAGGAAGATTTTGCAGTTTTTAAAATTAAATCTGAAATGTGATTTCTAAAGGACTTAGCTGAAATTCCTTTAAATTTAAACTCTAGGTGACAAACCAAAGCTGTTAGAGAGACCTTTGAGAAATATTGTATTACTTATCCACACCTCAGGAGCATAATTGCCAAGCTCTGCCTGTAAAGCCAAAGCACCAAGTTTCAGGGCAGTCTCATCATTGCAATATAATCGCTCCTCCAAAATATCTTTACGAAGCTGAAGGTAAAACTGATGCCTTGTCAAGCCATGCCTGGAACATAAAAAACATTTAGGAATGCAGGGGGACCCTTGAACAGTCACCCTAAATGCTACTGTTTTTCCTGCCATCACCAGAACCATACACTTACTGGATGATATTAAAGTGATTGACAAAGAATTTTATCCTTAGAAAAAGTGTGAAATTAATGATGGATGTTTTTTTCTTGGGTTGGTCATTCCAGCCATCTGGGGCCACTTTGTAGAGTTTGGTCTCCTCATCCAAAAAGAAGAATTCTTTACCTGAAATGAGAATTTTGGGTTCTGTGATAAATCTGGAGATACTTCAGTTGCTCAAAGTTCTGCTATCTTCGTTCAGTGCACCACTAGCAATAAAAAATGAAAGGGACCATGCATGTTAGTTGAGATATACTTCTCTGCATCATGGATTGATTTATTGCTTCTTTGACGGAGACCTTAAGGTAACACTTAGTGTAATTTAGGATTACAGTTGTTTGATGCTGGATTGGCGAGGTATCTATGGAATCACTCAAAAATCGATGGGGCTTGCATTCTGCTCACCATTGTAATCCTCATGCCCTACACACAAGTTATGCTGCTTCTTAGTGCCTCAGCCATGCTTACCATCAGAAATGGGCTAGGGAGATGTGTGTCTTGTAGATGAAATAGCTGAGCCTGTATTCCAACTTGTATCTAGGACCAAAGACAGTCAGCCTTCTTCAGTACAGTGCTTCCTGGAATTTTTGTGGGAGCTACATGGCTCAGTATTATTCCAGTGCAAGGCTGGGACACAGCCTTTGCTGCATGAGAATATCAGCTAATAACAGTATGGCTGTGCTGATACACAGTCCTAGGGTAGTCATACTTTACATCTGTGCAGTACAGTTTAAATCGACATACCTGACTTCTGCTTCAGTTTTGGATCTACGTTCATCTGAGGACCTCAAAGGAACTTGATGGAATTCATTAATAAAGTGACTACAGAGGCACTGAGGGAGAGGACTGTTACTCTAGTTAACTATGTTTCATTACCTTTCAGGTAAGCCAAGCCAAAGTAGAAATGTTCCACCAAGTTTGCATACGCCACCACGGTGTTGAAAACGTCTCTTGCCTTGGACTTGATGTCACATTGCACCTCAAGGCACTGCCCACTGAGTAGAATGACATTGAGATCCCTTTGGGACAAATAGGATTTCCCTTTTTTAGTCTAAGAACGTGTGAAAAAGAGTGAAGAATGAGTGTCAAGTACAAGCAATGCAAGTTTCACAGCATTTTATTGCTGAGGCCCCCTAGTCTCCTATTTCTACATAACCTGATGGAGTTGGTCACAACACAATACTATTCCCTGCCTCCTGTCTCATAAACTAATACCCCAAACATTTCTAATTAAAAAAAAAAAAAATAAAAAATGATTGCTGGAATCCCAGCTAAACAGCTGAGCTTACTCAGATACTACAGTTACCTTCATTTTCACTGCTGTATGCTGTCAGCCTTTTCCCTTAATAAAAGGTAGAGAATGGGCCTGCAAATTGAAGGAGCCCAATACATTGGCACTAGATGTCACATTGCAGATTTGGTCATTCCAACCATTCTCCATGACTTAGTCCCTTGACTATTTACCTCTGCAGGAACCCTCATTTGTTTTGGGAAGAGTACAGGGATACTGGGTTGGGACTTGTATGTCACTTACAAAAAGCCCCAACTAAAAGATTAGTTCTAAATTCTCAGTGTTGACACTTACCACAATTGATCCAGGTAGCTGTAAGGTCACTGGTGGTTCACTAGACAAAATAACAAATTCTGGACCTGAAAACTGTAAGGAGGCAATTTAGAATTTTAATAAGTGTCTTCTTAATATAATAAAGATCCCAAACATCAGTACCAATGAAACCCATTTCTGTTTATCTGTACGTTGCAGCTAATTGACTTCAGTGTCTAATGATATGGAAATGCTGATTGAAGACTTCTCTCTGTTTGGGGTCTCTCCTGTATGGCCTTTCTGGGGCCTAAGTAGGTATAAGCTCATGCTAAAGCCTTTTCTTCTGTAAAGGCACTTAGCCAAGATCCATTTCCTTTGCAAGGCACTTATTTTCATGACACTCAGAGAAACTTAATTTCTTTTGAGACCTTTTGTCATTGATTCCCAAGTTACTATAAGGTCAGTCACAGAATGTACACACAAACATATACGCTACTGTGATTTTCAGAAGCCTAGCTTCCATAGGGAAGACTGGGAACAGACCGGAACACAGTGCTATTTTCTTCCTTGTAAGGAAGGTTGACTGATACATTAGCAGACACTATATTATTTTTCTTTAACTTCTGCAAGCTTTAACAGCACAAGATGCTTTCTTTTTTTTTTCCTTTGTGAGCATCCATCTCAAGGAATCTTGCTTATTGGGGTTTTTTTCAGATTCATCTATATATTTAGATCCTTCAAGCAGGCAGAAAAAACTGAATGTCTGCAAGTGGCAAGATGAGGGTCATTCCAACCATTCTCCATGACTTAGTCCTTGACTATTTAGATATTTTTTTTTTTTTTGAGAAAATGTATGGTTAGTTTCATAATGCTAGTATTGTCTACCAAGACAATGCAATTTTGTATCGCATATAAAGAGGGTCTAGCACTTTGTTGCCACAGTTGATGGATTCCTGAGGAACTCGATTATTATGACAGCAAAAATCACATTCACAAAGTTTAAAACTAAATTTGTTTATAAAAAGATAATTTCCCAATGTATCTAACTGAAACTCTCGATCAAAGTTCTGCCACTGGTCAGTGTGGAGCTGGTGAACTGGGAATAGGTTAATGGACTCACCAGACTGAAAACTGTTCAATAAGCTCCATGGTATCAGCATTGTGGAGTTTTCTAATTCAATTATTTCTAGATTTTTGTGACCCAACTGCCAAAGAAACATCCTTCCCATTTAAGAGAACTTAAGGCAGTGAAAGCTCTTGTCCATAAGGTCTTGTCCTCCAGTTATCATGACTGGGTCATGCCTAATTTGGAGTTTGACAATTTAGAATACTCATCTAACGAGATGACTCATGCACATCACTGGCAAACGACAACTGGGTGAGAGGTTTCTCTTCAGTGATGTTTACATTTTTAATCAGCTTATATGTTTTTCATTAGTCACCTTTTCCTTCCTGTGGAACAAACATTTCTGTGATGCAGCAGCTGCTGTGTAGTCCTTTGTAGACACAGAGAAGGTGGAACCTAAACTTAGCAGGTTCTGTCTGCTGTTCTTCTGAGTTCCACTAGGGATTTCTTCTACAGCACTGACTGACCTTCAAAAGAAATATCACAGTGAGCAATACATATAGCATGTAATCAAAGCAACACAGACTTGAGGACAAAGAGCTTAAGGTACGTTGACCTCCAGAATATTATGAAATCCAGGGCAATGTCAGTTACAAGTTGTTAAATGTTTTGTTACAGAAAAAAAAAGACAAATAAATCAAGAGGGATTATATTACTGATACCCTTTATAAATAAATTTAAAATCTGCTTTTTTTTTTTTTTTTTTTGGCTGGTTTTGCCTTTTTTTTTTTTTTTTTCTCATTTGGTGAGTCAGATCTAGCTGGTTTAACTCTGGTGGAGCCAGCAGGAAAAGAATTTAGCCCAACGTCTTTCTGTGATTTCTGCAGGATGAAGTAAATTCCTTATTTCTTATTTTCTGAAGCAGAAAAGCTTCCAAAAATCATAGCATTTGTTGTTACATTATTTTCATTAGAGGAATGGAAACTAAATTATCTTGATACTAATTCATTACAATAAATTTATGTCTTAGGGAATTGAGGGAATTTTCTATATAATTAAAAGAAAGATGTGTGAAATCTCAGATCAGAAAGCTGTCTTTACACTATACTTTTAATCCATACAGTAATGATGTTTTCCACGTAAGCAGAAATATGTATGCTTAGAATAAACTTCAAATATAATATATACTCTTATCAATGAGGAAAGATTGATTGTGTGGTATGGAAGGAAAGATTTTGTTAAGGTAGATTTTTGTTAATTACATTTTAAACACATGCCAAGGTCACACATTTTTTGTTATCCTGAAGTTTTATCCTTTTCTTTTGCATGTTGCAGAGTTGCTTCAGGGAACTATTCATGGAGTTTTCAAAAGGTATTTAACAAAGTTACTGAAGTAGTTGCTAATCTCAGTCTCTTCTCCCTGGTACCCAGTGACAGGTCACGTGGGAATGATTCAAAGCTGTACCAGGGGAGGTTCATACTTGATAGTAGAAAGCAGTTCTTTACTGAGTGGCCAAACACTGTAACAGTCTTCCTAGAGGTGGTCACTGCCCCAGGCTTGTTAGTTGTTTAAGAGGCATTAGGACAATGCCCTTAATAACATGCTTTATCTTTTGGTCAGCCCTGAGGTAGTCAGGAAGTTGGACTCAACGACTGTTGCAGTTCTCTTCCAACTGAACCTAATAAACTATTCTGTCCAGTCCAGTCCAGTCCTGTCCTGTCCTGTCCTATCCTAGCCTATCCTAGTTTAAATTCCTCTGTTATGAAGTTATCTAGATATTTTTATTTCTATCTACACTATCTCTTAAAGATCAACATTTAACTAAGAAATATGCCTAAAAATGACCTGAAGTGACTTTTGTGGGTATGAAAATACCCACAAAAGTCACTTGGGTCAAAACCCAAGATGCTGTATTAAAAAGATTTTGTTTTCCTGTGGAAAAAGCTTCCTGTTATTAATCCTGTGAGGTGATAGATATGAGGCTTGACATCTGTGTCTTCTTTACATATAGGCCAGAGTCCTGTGTATACTTCAAGCTTAACTTTATGAGATGTAAACTGTATCAGTCGGATGTCTTATAGAATTACTATAGTAAACCCATCACTAAGTTTTGTGTTGGTTGTCCTTGTGTATGGAAAAGTAATGGTTTCCAAACTAAATATTTCAACTCTACCATTGTCATGGTACTTACAATAAGACCTTGCAGATGCTTACAACCAAAAGTGAGGTTTACAGTCCCTGAAATTCTATGGCAAACAGCTTGCTGGAAATTTGGAAAAAAAACGTTCATCTTTCAGCAGAGGGGAATGTTTTCTTGGCAGCATGATTTTAGATCAAGGATATTGAGATGATACCCAGGTTGGTAGTCAGAGGCATTGCATTTGCTCCAAAATACTCAGTAAATAAATCTTCTGTTACTGATATCATTCCCAGGTGTGTAATGCATATATAGATGTCTGCCTACACACATATGTGTGTGTGTAGTTAGGCAGGTAGACAGACACTTCTTTCTTCACAAAAGCTGCCACTATCATGCACCCGGCTTGTACTTCATTTTATGTTGCAGGTTTAGAGGTGTCCTGGAGTATCTCACGTTGCTCAGATTATTGTGGCTGATTTATCAGGAAGTTCAACTGTTTACTTGGGGTATGTTTAATTGGGAGTTGATCTAAATAGAGCATTTCCTGTGGGCCTGAATTACTCATGCTGTGGTTAAAAGAAGAAACTCGTGTTTAACTGGGTCAAGAACTCAATTTGAATGGGATGTCTGTAGGGATTACATGATGCTTAACTATGGGATTCTGGTCTTTGTGGTGCCTACAGGCTAACAGTATTTACACCTCTTCTTCATTTGGAAACAGCCATGATTACAGCTTCTCTATGCTAACACCCTGTTTAGAAAACTCTTGTTTGGCAGCAGTGGTGTTTCCCTGGCTTTTGAAAACGAGTTAGTATCAACTGCACTATGCTGGGCTTTCTTTGCCTATGTCTGCAGGGCTGCTGTATATGCTGTGGCTGAAACAAGGCTAATCCTTATGACAGAGCCAAGTTCTTTATTGCTTGTGTCCCTGGGTTACCTGTAACTCCAGTAAAATGGCAATGCAGGGCTGGATATGGCTGACACAAGTGAGACAAACCAATCTCAGAACTGAGATGGAAATGCAAATAAACCACTGAAAATGATGGGTCATGTACATGTTCTGTCATAACCACTCCAGAATACTTCAGGCCTCTGTTAATGTGACAGCAACTCAAGACCAGATCCAAAATCTGAATGTAGACAAATATGGTCTCTGCAGAACACCTCGTCAGTTAAAGTAATGGCTCTCAACAGGTTTTTCCCTTCCACATTCTCTGTGGAGCTGCTTCCCAGTTGTTTCAGGCACAGCCAGCTCTTTGCTCCTTTTGCCTGTCTAGTATGCCAGAGACATGCTAGGGGCAGCTGTTCTGGGAGGCCAGTGACATCTGGCAGGACACAGTGGTAAAGAGTAATGGTGGAAAACTTCAGTATGTTTGTTTTGCATGGATTGCTCAGAGCCCAAGCTCCATTTCACTAGAGCATTTGGACTGTTTCACTTGGAACCAAACTGAGGCTAGGTGCACTTTAATTCTGTGTAAACAGTATCTATTATCAAAATAGGTTCAGATGGTAATCAGGCCTTTTCTGATAATGACATTGCCACACTAGTTGCTGTTTCACTTGGTAATAAGACAGCATCCATCTTTCAGGAATAAGAGTTCCGATTACCTGTTTATGAAGAGCTTGTAGCTACTTTGTGTCCTTGACCCACTAAGAGTGGGGTCCCATGACCTGTGTGTCTGTGGAACTCTCCCTGAAATGAACAAAGGAAATTTCACAATTGAAGCAATTGTACCAGCACTCAGCATCAGATCGTGGGACAATAATAACAAGAAAGAAATTTAGACTGGCTACTTCCTCTCTTGTATCCTCACTTGGGCATGATAAATGGCTGTTTGATAAGACTAAGTGAATACTGCACCAGCAGTATTCCTAGTTCTCTAGTTATTGTTATTTCCTTTTCATAACTCTTCATGTGAATGTAATTTGGAAAATAGCTGGGTAGGTACAATGGCTGTTATTTCCATATGTATGGAGAGCTTTTGCTCTTCAGAAATTACGCTTGGTATTCTTTGTTCTTCTATTTCCAGGCATAAAATTGGGAGGGAGGGCTGGGGGAAGCCATGAAATTTTTCCGGCTTAATCAGAGTAGGATATGAAATGAAAATTGTTTGTAAATATTCCAACAGTTATTTGCTACATTAAATATATTGTGAACGGTTTTACAGCATAAAAATCTGTTAGGAATATAAGATGTCTTGTGAGTTATTAGCAAGTAAGTTTTGTATAATTTTTCACCTTCAGTTGTCTCTGCTGCTACAGAAAGGGTAGGCATTGCTTTGTCCATATACATGGAGGTTGAAATTTAGAGGTAGAACCAGAAAAGGTTATCCAAGTTCTGTGAACATCTCTTATAGCAGCAGAGGTGTTCTAAATCCTGTAGGGAAGGGTGGGAAGGTTAAATTTTTCTTCACTTGGATCATTCCATTGATCTTATTTGAAGAAATGCATATCAAACTCTTACATAAGCAGAATGATAGTTGTGATGAGTTATGTGGAAGCGACCATAGAGGTCAGCTTTTTCTCCAGATAAAATATATATTATCTACACCCTGAGACCTCACTCTGAATTCCAACATGAAAACATGACATTGAATTCTGGTGCATCAACTACCAATTGAAATTTTAAAAACTAGAAAATCTACAAACACATTGCTAAAATATTAATAAAATATTTTTTCAAGCTGCAGATGGTAGTGACAAAACGTGAGATTTGAGATAAGCCAAATACACAGGGCTAAGATTCAGTCCTCTGTTCTGAAACTATGTGCTTTTTAATGAGAAAACCTTGCAAAGTTCTCTGCTTACACTATAGGTTTCACATAATTGCATAAATATACTTTGACAAGCACATAAAGTTTCCCTTAGTTTTTCTGTCTCAGTTGTTATGGCACTGAGACAAGTTGACTAGCTTCAGTGGCCAGACTGCTGTGCTTTGATCAGAAATCCAACACATTCCTGATGTTTAAGTAACACGTGGCCCTCAAAGACCTTGATCCTGTAGATGATTAATAAGATAATGTTGATCTCCCTGATAATGGTGCTCTACTAGGTGGTAGTATCTCTTTTCAGAGAAGAATGCATTTGTCTGATACATTATCTCACGAAAGAAAGAATGTCTGCAGGAAACAAGTTCTCACATTGTGTTTTCTCATGTAATTGAGAGTTTGTCTTACAAAATCCTGAGTACAAACAGCTACTGATACCGGCGTATCAGTGGAGACCGAGACATGCACAAATTTACTAGAATGACTTACAAAAAAGGCTCCTGGGCTTACCTTCACTATGTGCCACTAGGTCCGTGACTGACACGTATGCCTCACACAGGGAGCATATGCAATTGCAGGATTTTATTGCTGCTGATACTGATTGCAATTCTGGAGCTTCAGAAAAGCCCCTTTAAGGAGGAGTATCAACAACAGTTGTATGAGTAGCCTTACCTTCCTCATCATTGGGGCTAAGGGCTTGGGGACAAGAGGCTATTACATGCTGTGGCTTTGTATTTTGTTTAGGTTTTTGCTTTGTTTCCCAGGATGTGCTTGTTTTCTCTCTGCAAATTATCTCTTGGCAGGCTTGTGATAAAATACAGTGGGCACCCAGGTTGTTTTGCTATCTTTCCTAGGAAAATTTATGCCTTGAGATCATGCTCTATGTCTTTTATTTTTGGTTAGTAAATTTTAAACTTTTCAAATTTGGAAGATTGTGAGTAATATGTTCCTACAAATCTCATGACAATCAGCAGCTGGATATCATAAATCCAAATTAATGCTTCCCTGTGAGAAAAAGCAAGGACTGCTCAGTAGTTTTCTGTTATTTATGAACTAACCAGTCGGTGTGTATACCTTGTTACATCATAACTGATGTAGTGGCACTAGGTCTATTGCTTTAAGGAGGAAATTTCTGGTCTGAAACCCGTACATGCTTATGTTTAAATCCATGTCACAGGAGGACCTAGTACCTATGGAGCCTATCTATGGAGGCTCATAGAGCGAGGAAATAAACTCAAATACAGCAGTAAACTTCCAGCTCTGGGACTGGAAGCTCAGGAGAAGTGCCCCAGGTAGGATGGAAAAAGAAAGTTTTAAAGCAGAAGGGAGGGTGGGTAACTGTGGAATAGAGAAGAGAAATGGGCAGGTTCCTGAGATGAGGAGGTGGCATGTAAGGTTGGTTTTTTTGGAGATGCTGATGACATTTGGCAACAGGAACTTTTTGCTCTTACATAGGTAGTCTTACATTTCAGAAGACAAAAGAGATGAGTATGTAATTCATAAACATAATTTTTCAGGAAAATCTTACCTCTCTTGTGTCCTCGGTTAGACAGTATCAAAGATGTACTTTCAGAAATACTATTAGAGTCACTGTAGTCCACAGAGAGTTGTCTATAATCTTCTGTTGACTGACTGTAATTCATTAATCTGGACCCTTTGTCTGGAAACAGAAAGGAAATATGGTGAATCACATACTTTAATCATAAATCATTGTATCTGCATGATAACGTAAGTAACATTTGGCTTGACTAATTTTTATATAGTCCATGCCTGATGTCTTCTAATACCGACTTCAACTCTTAAAGGACCAAGGGAAGCTTGGTAACTTCATTCTACAGCTTTCATAATCTCATTCTGACCCAAAATAGTCCTTATAGTTCTCCTGAAACAATCTGAACAAACCAAATCTAATAGATCAATTCTACTCTACATGTTACATGGAAAGGTTGAAAACTGTAGATAACCTGCAAAGTTATCCTTTCTTACATCCTGAGACCCAAAACCTTCAGCTATGAAGTATTCTCTGTGTGTATGTGAAGGAAAGTGCCCAGAGACAAGCCACTAGCAGTGCTGGCTGCAGAAATTCCATTAAGGGGTCATTCTAAGTCGTTAGGAAGTACATATTTTTGTTGCACCTTAACTTTACTTTGGTTGCATTGTCTCTTGTCCTTTTTCCAGAGCGTCTGAAAGTGATAATTTTTAATTAAAAACAAAGAAAGAAATGGAATACTGCCTTGAAAAGTGTGGCTCACACATTCTCAATGTAATCAATAGCCTGATTCATTGAAGTCCTTCAGTATAAGCCACATGACCTGTATACCTAGAAAACACAGAGATCACCCCAGATACATAATCACAAGAACCAGTAGAACAGAAATGGCAGGAATTTGTGACTAATAGGGGGTTGAAGATGGGACCATCCCTTTTGGCAGTAGCAGAGTTTTCACTAGCTTATGCAAATGTCAATCTATAAACTCAATTTCTGAATGAGTGAGCCAACTTGCTTTTAAGGGTGTTTTATCTGTATGTTTTCAAAAGAATGTCCTTTTCTTATGACCAGTAATAACTAATGGAAATGTTTTGCAGATATTTAAGCGTGTGTTTAATTCTAGCTGAAGTTAATGGAACACATATGTGACTTCCTGAATAGGAATTGGATTGTTCATATGCCTAATATGAAGCATGTCAAAAAAAAAAAAAAAAAAAAAAAGCCTGCATATCTTGGTCCAACCTTCCCCTTGCCCCAGAATCACAGATTTTTGTTGAAATTAACAGTGCAATGTAGGGACTATATTCTCTAGTTACAGCTAGAGAATTAGTCTGTGGGATAATAAAATCTTGAGTTTAGTCAAATTAAATGTGAAATTAGTATATACTGGTTTATTTATCTAGTGAGCAGTATTTGGCCTTGTGTCTTGAAATCACTCCAGCAATCCATGTGTGAATTTATAAAACATCTCTGAATAGAAAAACAAACTAAAATAAAAAAGAATCCACAAATCTTCGCTTGAGTAATCAATCAGGAAGGATGAATATACATTCTTTAATGGCAACAGGATAACTTCACAGAATCCCACTCTACCTTCAAAAATACACTGGAGTATGCAAATACAGAAGCAGTTTTGGAAGCAGGGGATCTTTATATGCACAGGTTTTATGCAAAGTGCTTTAAGACTCGAATCTGTGCAAGTTGATTCGTTATCATTGCTTCACAGCCCTCAGACTACTGTCATTCGTGGAAATAAGGAACAGAAACCTTGCTGACTCGCCTCAGAGTCTCTCCATTATGGAGTCATTTATATGTAAAGCTATAAATATCCTATCCAACACTACTTGTAATCACCACAGCATGAAATTAAACAATTCGCTTAGCATGGGAAAGACTCAGAAAAAGCTGGTGATATCCATATTACACAGCTCAGGTTGTAAGTCTTTCCTTACCTTGGTGAAAATTCATCTGGGAGTACAGTGGTGAGGTGTCCGATATTTTCTCATGCAGCCTTTTCCTTAGCACATGACTTCTGTTAAGCTGAGAAGCTGTGCTGTCTTCGTTGACTACCCGCTCTACCTAGAAGACGGTAGTACTGTAAGTCAATGTCATCTGATATGTGGACTTTGGACTCTCATACTGAAGTGATCCTTGCCCTCTGCTTGTCAGAGGCTGCTGATTGTGTTGGTAATAACAACTTCATTTTCTCAGATTAACACAAAGCAGGATTGAGCTTTGATGGCTTTTTGCTCTCATGCTAGCTGTGTTTAAGAGGGGACACCCTCTCTTACACTGGGAAATAGAGTAACAGAGAGTGCAAGGGAAAAGGTAATATCAGAATGTTAATGAATACTGATTGAAAACAAGAAAAAAAAAAATCCCACAGCCCTGCAGTGTATTTATTTTCTTCCAGTTTCATTCAGCTTGTCAACAAAAATTTTTAGTTGATATTTCAAATCTTGAAAAAGACTCAGGCGCTCACTTATCAAAGACTTCACATGATCAGGCTTGATTGCACAGCAGATTTTCAGTTCCACTCAAGGATGGTGAATTACATTCTCAATATGATGTAAATGTGATTTCTTGCAATTTCTCAAAGTCTGAAACCAGAGGGGCAATGGAGGAATCTTGTCTCTTGTGTAAAGAGAATTGACCAATATGAAGTCTCTGTAAAGGTTATGATTGCTTCAGTATTAACCAAAGAAATTAGGGTATTGTACATGCAAAAACTGGATTTGTACCATTTCCCAGGAGTGTAAGAGTGGTGTGACAGATGGCTTCATTGCCTCATTTGCTTGTACACATGCCCACACAATTTCCTGCTTAGAAGTCTAGAATCAAATCTCACTTTCTGAATTCATACAAGCATTAATTTCAGGTAATTGCTCCCCTGTATCCAATGTCACTGCTCTCCTCTCTCACCAAAGAAAACATTACATATGAGAGTAGTACCCACCTCACTGACACTTCCCATAGCAAAATGAACCATTTTCTTTATGTAGACGTTGGCTGGTAAGAGAGCAGCTTCCTTCTGATGTGCCTCACATGCTTCCAGGATTGACTCAGGAGAAAGTCTTTTGTGTGGCAGATCTTCGCATAGTGTCAGCAAGAGCATGTGTAGCTGGTCACTCAGCTGTAGGGACTGAGTCAAAATAGAAGTACTATTAAATGACATCTCCCAGTGGTCTGAAATCCTCTGTAAACTGCAACCAGGGATTTCTGTAAACCTTTCACTCTGGGTGAGAAATGGGCAAGGAATTCCTTTAGATTTTGGGAAAATTCCAGATAGGCAGCATAACAGCACTAAATGGAGCCGCTAATGGGATACAGGATAGCCTCAGAGGGAACTGGCATCTACAAGGAATGTCATCAGCCCATACAGGGGCTTCCTGATGACAGACAACAGATCAATTTCTCCACAGCTTTGCTAATTAGAGTGTGAATCTTAAAGATTCATGCAAGTAAGATGTGTGACAGCATTAGCTTCAAAAAGGTGAGGAGTTATACCAGCCAAAACTGTTACCATAGAGACCAGATAATTAAATTTTAGAGTCATTTAGCTTATAGAGCGTTTTCTCTTAGACCATGTATACCCATGAAAAGGAGGTTAGATCTACTAAAAGTTTGTACTCTTCAAATAAAAACCACGCAATCAAAGGTGTGGATATAGAAATGAAGCAATATGTGTGCTACAAATCTTTGAAAGAATTCTGGGTAAGCAAGAAACACAAAATTTCAAGTAGCAGAGATGCTGGTAGAATTTGCACAGAAATAAGGAGGGTTATCTAGTTTATTTAGCATCCCATTATTTGAAAAAACACATAAATGCGTACGGCACCACAGTCATGCAGACATGATGTTTTTCTTCTAGCCCTTCCTATTTTAGAATCATAGCAGCATAGACTCATAGAATGATTTAGATTGGAAAAGGCCTCTAAGACCATCGAGTCCAGCTGTAGCCCTAATACTGCAAATCCACCACTAAACCATGTCCCTAAGTGTCACATCTACGCATCTTTTAAATATCTTGTGGGACAGTGACTGAACCACTTCACTGGAGAGTCTGCTCCTTATTACAGCCTTGGAATAAATAATCTTCACTCTTAACAGCAAGGTAAAATTAATCTTATTTGGAACAATTCTGGTTTTTGAAGAAAAAGAGAGAAAAAACAGAAAAGTAAAGATGAGGCTCAACTAAATTTCTGATTTGGATTAACTGGTATTTTTGGTGAAGTCTGGACCTTGACACAAGATTTCCACATCTTTCTAGCATTCCAAACCATAAGACCCCTCCCACTGAGATTTCAGATTATGTCTCTCAATGTTTGAACTTACTAATATAAAACAGAATAAAAGTTCAAATTTAAACAGGGGAAGATTTAGATTAGATATAAGGAAGAAGTTCTTCACAGTGAGGGTGGTGAGGCACTGGAATGGGTTGCCCAAGGAAGTTGTGAATGCTCCATCTCTGGAGATGTTCAAGGCCAGGCTGGACAGAGCCTTGGGCGACACAGTTTAGTGTGTGGTGTCCCTGCCCATGGCAGGGGGGTTAGAACTAGATGATCTTAGGGTCCTTTCCAACCCAAACCATTCTATGATTCCATGATTCTATTCTAAAACAAAAATGTATTACTGGCCTGGTTTGGAGGAACCTGGTAGTCTGCTGACCAATAGAGGGTCATTCCTAAGGAATACACCAACATCTGTCAAAACAGAAAAGGAAACCCTTTATGAAGTCAACATTAGATACAGAAAAGTGTTGTAACAGAAAGACCATCTTTTTTTGTCTTGGTCACAAATGGCAGAAGCCAAAGAAATATATATATTTAAAAAAAAAAAAACCACAACAAAAAATTGTCTAGAGGAAACATATGAAAGTGCAATAGTGACTCTTGGCTTACAGACTGGATAGCATGCAAGGAGTATAGTTCGGCTTGAGGGGTTGAGCCAGATCTCCTTCTATCCAATGATGCCACGAGCAGGAAAGAAATTTCTTAGTTTTGAAGCAATTTCATTGGTCATTAAAGCTTTCTCCTACCTGTGGAACTGACTAGCACTCATGTCCAGGAGGATTATTGGAGTAAGGGCCATCTGTTCCAAAGCTTTACATTTCTGCGTAGTGTCTAAGTCATCAGTTACACGGGAGACTGAAAGTACTGTGTTCTGCCTGAGGGAAGTATGCAGTTATGCAGTCCTAGTGGTTGTAAAACTTATAGGTACCTGAGTGTTGTGTCTTACTGTCTTGCCAGAGAGACTTATTTGGCAGGGAGAATAAAAGTAAATTGTTAACAAAGCTAAACATATTTCTGACTTCTTGGGAGTGCTTCCACTCTCTGATTGTAATTACAATTACCGTATCTGGTCAAGCATCTTGTTCATAGATATATTCCTCCTTTCTGTGGGCCTTTACAAATAATACACCTGTGTAGATCTTGAGGACTGATGTTCAAAATTGATTTTAATGATGACATGCATACTAGCTAATGGCAAGCTGCAAGACACATCTAAATCTTTCTTCCTATAGCCTAATTAGTGTTATTAGAGATGGAATGTGGCAGTAGATACCTGGTATACTGCGTTAAAACCCGCAAGCTTGTCTTCACGTGATACTGTCAAGATTTATTTTGTAATATACCTCACCTTTGTTAGTCCAATGTGCTGATTTTTACTTTGTCTGTGGAGCAATTCTGGTGCACTGAAAGGTACAGCTTCTGTCTGAGATGCATTGTTTTGGAAGGACAGATTTCCTTCAGCAGACAATAGTATTGACCATGGACAAATCACACAGATGGCAGGGTCTGAAAAATGTTGAAGATATTGAAGTTTTTAGTGTTAAATTCACTCTGCTCATAAAATCATGTTGCTGGTGTCTCACCTGCTTAGCCAAACCAATCAATTAAGTTTCATGGAGATGGACATAGAAGTCAGTGGAATCATGCTCATTTCTGCCTGGCTCATTTTGTCAGGTGGAATTCAGTGATCACTAAAGACTTGATTTCTCTCTCACATCATTTCACACATACAAACATATTGATTTCAATGGATTTCTGAAGCCTAAGGAAAGGCACAAGTACATCCCATGTGCAGATTCTAGAGATACTGACATTTTGGTAGATCTTTTTTATGCAAAGCACAAGAGAGTATCTGAAAAGTAGAACACTCCTTCAAATAAAGCATGGATATTTTGAAGCTGGCATTTGCAGAGATAAGTTAGCTTCCATTAAGTTGCATGACCATGGTACAAATCTCTTCTCTGTGGTGACATGTTTTTGTTCTGTGTGCTCCTTATAGTCAGTCAGCTCTGCATTTCAGTAACCTCTTTTTCAGTGTATTGTGCCTAGCAAAGCCAAGTTACTTTGCCAGAAAGTCAGTGTCAGGAGTCAGTATCTTTATTTCTATTGCACGGATGAAGAAACTGTTGCAGAGTCCAGCTTTGATTACTACAGCTCATCAGTCAATAGAAGCCAGTGTAGCTTCCCAAGTCCCAATGCTTTAACCTATGAAACTTTTCGTAAAGTGGAAACATAATTTCCAACTAACCTAAAGTTTGGGATATTTTTTTTACCAGAATGCAAATATGAAAGCTATCTAAACTAAAACTTAGACTAGATTCTAGCAGTCTAGTAGAACTGGCATAATATTTTAGCATTATTCACATTGAGTCTTTCTGTCTGCATGTCAGGTCTGTTAAAAGAGGGGATATTTAAAACAAATGTGCTTTCAAATGAGAAATGCAGACTCCTAAACTTGACAAGGTCCTGAGGACTCTAATAGGCCTTAATAGCCCCGAGGAGCCTCACCTGGGACCTACCCCCATCCTCTGCCCATAGTCCCAGGCTCAGTTAAGTGCAGCCCAGGATCTTGAGTCCCTGCCTGAGGTTTGGTAAAAGTGTGCTTGCGTCCAGCTCATCCACAGCTATGCCTTGCCTGACTGTGGACTGCTTTGATCTTGACACACTGACTAACTTCCCAGAAGGACTTCAGGCTTGCCTTGGCACTGTGGACTTGCCTGGTGATCACTGGGCTATCTGACTCCAGTTGCTCACAGCAGACCTGACCCTGACTCAGCTTCTCAGATTGAGCTCAGACCTGCCCTGTCCTCACAAACGTGTGTTGGTCTGGATTCTCAGCTGTCAGCCCCAGACCTTTCCTGCTTGCCTTTTTTGGGTACTGTGGGATAGGGCCCTCTGCACCAAGAAAATGGATGGTAAAAATGGGTAAAATGTTAATCTGGGAACTCACATATACCTAGGAGGTTTGTATAGCCAGAGGACCCAGAGATTCAAGACTCATGGACTGCTGGTATTTGCAACAATTGTGGCATTTACTTCTTTAGAAAATTAAAGGTCTTAAAAACATCAGCTAACCTTCTATTTTGCTCCTTCCTTATTTGCTGTAATATTGTATGCAAATGCAAGTAGCATGTGCTGGGAAATCTGTTTTAGAAACAGATAGCCAGCTTGTCCTTTAGCATTGATGGAGATTACCCAGCCTTCTGTACTGTTGGCCAGCCAAGAAGTGAGTATAGCTGTCTAACCAGTTAGTGCCGAAACACACTGGAAATACTGCTATAGCAAGTGGTGCTGACCATCACCAGGTTTAGCAGGATTCAAGCACAGTGCAGCACAAATGTGGCAGTACTCACCCAGAGAAAAGCCTGATTCCAGAAGTAGTATAGCTGTAATTAAGATATGTGGAGCCATAGATATGCCTTAGACAACTGGGGCAATACTATGCAGAGACAGTTTACCTTTGCTGCCCTCCAAGAAACTGTAGCACTGGGGATTCAGCTTCATAAAGAGTCCAACTTGGCATCACTTCTGGACTTGAGCTCTCTAAAGACATGTTTGAGCAGCCTTGTGCTTAACCTATAGACCAGCTTGGTTCTACATAGCTACTTCCTATTGTTTTACTCTTCATTGTCTGATCACAATATCCTAAATTTATCTGCTGCAGCATAGGAAACATAGGCTGATTATCTGAATTCAGTAGATATCCAACAAGTCTTATTGTTTGCTTGTTTGTTTGTTGTATTTTGGTTTGGGTTTGGGCTTTTTTTGAAAAA